AGGCACGTGTGGCTGGTGGCTGGCGCCCAGGATGGTGCAGCTCACAGATCCTTCTGGTGATGGAGAGCATGGTGTGGGGACAAGGGGGTGAGCTGGACAGCCCGCCCACAAGGACGGCGGTGAGAGGACGAGATCCACCCCCCACAGGCCGTGTCCTCATAGCAAAAGGACACCCATTTCCCACAAACCTGAAGGTAAAGACCCAGCAGCCCCCTGCAGCCCCACCGCCCAGCAGAGCGAGGCCCAGCCCTGCAAGACACTCCTCCTCGCTGCCTGGTGCCAGCTGACTGTCCATGGCTGGCCCACCCAGAAGTGGGTACCGGGGGCAAAGAGCAGATGCCAGGCAGGAGGAGAAAGGATTTCCAAGGCCGTTCTCACCTTGAACCTAGACAAGCGAGCCCAGCGCTCTCTGCCGCTGACAGCTCCTGCCGGCAGCTGCAATTAACACAGAGCTGTTGACATCTAAATAATATAACAGTTATCATAAAAAATATGCGGCCGTGATGAAGATCAAGTTATTTATAAAAGAATTAATAATTGAGACGTGAGCATGCTGTTGGATGAGATTCACCGGGGACACTGCCCGGCTCCCTGATCAGAATTTCTGTGGGGAATAAAGAGACCCCTTAAGAAGACAAAGACCTTGAGGTCTCCTCTGCTGTTTACAGACTGATTCCTGGCAATGAGGAGACTAATGCAGGGAGTCAGACTGAGCTCTGGGGACCGGGAGGGCAGCAGATGCACCTGGCCTGGGTGTCCCAGCCCGGAGAGGACCACACGACTTGTCAGCGGTTCTGGAATGCAACGGATGAAGGGAGTTATTGGAACAAAAGATCAGATGCCACCCTCGGAACACAGATGTGCAAGGAGCTCTGAGGTGGGGACCCGGCGGCCCTTTGCCGCACGGGCCTCCGCACGCTCCTGAAATACTGGGAAGCTTGACTGACCGGCCTGGGTCGGTCACCGCAGGCCGTGGGAGAGGCCACTCCTCTCCTCCCGCTCCCAGATACCAGGAGTGCTGGTAAATCAAGGGTTTGCCTCTACCAGCACTGCTTCTGAGGGCTGGTCCCAGGCCAGGGGCAGGCTGGAGCTTGGTCTGACCCAAATGGAGGCACTTCCTGCCGGACATGTCTGATTTCTGGGGGCCACTCTTCCAAGGCCTTCCTCCTCACCTCCCTCCCCACTGGGTCTCTGAGGCCAACTCACATCATCTCAGTCTCCCAAGGTGGTTGTAACCAAGTCCCACCCAAGGGGCAGCTTAAGTGATGGACGTCTATGGTCTCGAGGCCCTGGAGGCCAGGACACCTGAGATCAAGGTGTGCGGAGGGCTGACTCCTTCCGAGACCTAGAGGCAGAAGTGTCCAGGCCTCTCCCCCAGCTTCCGCTGGTGCCAACATCCTTGGTCTTCCCTGGCTTGGAGAAGCCTCATCCGGTCTGTTTGTGTGCAAAGGGCAAGCGTGTCTATGTTCAAATTTCCCTTCTCAGAAGAACCCCAGTCATGCTGGATGAGGGCTGACCCTGCCACATCTCATCACCTCATCTCATCTAATTACTCCTGCAAAGACCCTGTTTCCAAATACAGTCACATTCTGAGGTCCTGGGGGTTCAAGTTGCAACATGAATCTTGAGGGGATGCCATCCGGTGCAGGACTCCCTGTGGGCAGGGCCCCCTGGTGCAGCCTGACCGTCATTAAAGGCAGGAAACAGCCTTAGGAGGCGCTGACAGTCATGGGGTGCGGGGAGGCCACCCCAAGCTGGACCCCTGAGAGCTGCACGTTCTCTGCTCCCTGCATGGGCATGGCCCCCAAAAAGGGGAAACTCAGAACCCAGTTCCAAGCCATCTGCAGCATTGAGTGGGGCATATTCATTCACTGTTTGTTGTGCTTTTGCATGCTGATTAGAAGGGCTGCTGTTGTTGTTCAGTCACTAAGTTGTGTCTGACTCTTTGTGACCCCATGGACTGCAGTACACCAGGCTTCTCTGTCCGTCACCAACTCCCAGAGTTTGCTTTCATGTCCATCGCATCGGTGATGCCATCCAACCGTCTCATCCCCTGTCATCCCCTTCTCCTCCTGCCCTCAATCTTTCCCAGCATCAGGGTCTTTTCCAATGAGTCGGCTCTTCATATCAGGTGGCCAGAGTATTGGAGTTTCAGCTTCAACATCAGTCCTTCCAATGAACACCTAGGACTGATCTCCTTTAGGATGGACTGGTTGGATCTCCTTGCAGTCCAAGGGACTCTCAAGGGTCTTCTCTAATACCACAATTCAAACGTATCAATTCTTCGGCACTCAGATCCTCAGAATTGAGAGCGATCCTTGACACAGCCTGGTCCAAAATGCCACAAGTCATGACCCTGTTCTCCCCAACATTCCACCAGAGCTTCAGGGACACAGCATACTGCACTCCCTCAGAGAGAGGTGTGAGCTTATCAGAGCCTGCTCTGCACCTAGGGCCACAGAAGGCTCTCACTTTTCTCTTCACCAGCCAGGGAGGCCTCATCTCTCTTTTGCAAATGATCAGGCCCAGAGAGGTTGAGGGACGTGCCTGCGGTCACACAACCAGCTAGGACAGGCCGCCACCAGACTCCTGGCTACATCCGGCCTGCCTGCCCCTCTGCCCTCACTTACAGGTGCCCTTTCTCACCCAAGACCAAACTGCCCCCCAAAGTGGCCCCGACTCTGACCTTGCATCACCTGTAACAAGGGGTCTTCAGACCCACCTCCCTGGGCTGGCTCCATGAAGCAGCACCAAACGCAGAAGCGGTGGGACCAGGCCATCATCAGCCCTCTCACCCCGACAGCCTTTCAGAGACGCTAAATCTGCCTGGAGATCTACGTGCAAACCCGCGTCCCTGCCGAGGACGGCCCGCAGCAGGAACGCTTGTGGGGCCCCTCCACAGCATGCTTCAGGAGGCCGCCCTCCCTGCACTCCACCCCGTCTCTGCCGCACTCTCCGCCCCTCTTGAGGAGCTGCCAGCCTTGCTCCCAGGCTCTGTTTCTGCTCCCAACATTCATAACTGCGTCTGAAGCCTGCTGCCTTCTGGAGCTGGCCTGCTTCACATCCCCACAAAGCACCGGAATACTAATTGAAAAGTGATTAATTGCATTCACGGCGATGTCTCCTTGCAGGAGCTGGGGGCCGCTCTCCACACTCCCTGAGTGGGCTTAGGACAGCGGGGGAGCCATGCTTTTGTGTTTTTAATGCTGAGCTGTTTCTAGTGTGATTTAATTCTCACAGGGAGAGCCTTATACCATGAGCCTGACTCAGCGATGGGGTCCAGTTTGCCCCTCTCAGAACCTCCTTTTCCTCCTTCGAAGGTGGGGCTGCTGGCCCCAGGAAGGTTGGGATCAGACTGTCTGGGTTCAAGTCTCAGCTCCCTGTCATCTCTGTGGTGGAGTTTGGCCCAGTGCTGTCATCCTCCTGGCCCCTTTGCTCCCTCCAAGACACTTACATTCCCCATATCTACCCACTGTCCACTTCCCAGGAGTCTGCTCAGAGGTCACCTCCTCCAGGGAGCCTGCCAGAAGCCCTCCTCTCTGCTCCAGTAGCCCCTGGGCATCTCCCCACAGTAAGCTGCTGTGGCTGCTGGTCACCCCCTGGGGAGCAGGGCCAGTGTCTGGCCACTCCCACCCCCACAAAACTCACACCTGGAGACACACCCAAGCAAGTGCATCACCCACCACATCTGAACCCCCAGGCAAGTGCATCACCCACCACATCTGAAGCCCCAGGCAAGTGCATCACCCACCACATCTGAACCCCCAGGCAAGTGCATCACCCACCACATCTGAAGCCCCAGGCAAGTGCATCACCCACCACATCTGAAGCCCCAGGCAAGTGCATCACCCACCACATCTGAACCCCCAGGCAAGTGCATCACCCACCACATCTGAACCCCCAGGCAAGTGCATCACCCACCACATCTGAACCCCCAGGGTGGAACCCAGATTGAACGAGGCATCAGGACATAAGAACCTCACACGCAGCAGGTGCTCAGCCACCGATCATCCAGTCCAACTTCTCCCAAAGCCTAGGGTGGTCCCTCATGCCTCTCTGGGCCTCCATTTTCTCAGCTGTGAGATGGGGTGACTGTCAGGGCCACCCTGCAGGACTGAGAGGGTTAATGAGGCCACAGGTGCCAAGCACAAGGCGGGCTGGTTTAGACACTGTGAGTGTCTGCTCCCCGTTTCCAGCCTCCAACCTCCAGGACCCAGGACCAAGGGTTTCCTCAAGCTGGTCTCAGCGCAGGTGACAGGCTGAGCCGAGGGGACCTAAGGGAGGACCAGGGCACTGCCGTGAAAGGCCCTGACCCCTCTAACCCAAGACAAGTGGGGTCTTTCAGTGGAGACTGGGTGCTCATGATGAAGTGCGTCTTCCTGGATCCAGGTGGGAGGCCGGGGCCAGGACAGCTCGGTGGGGAAGCACAGACAGCCCCTGCCATGTGAGCGTCAGATCCACCTGGAGAAACTCCACAGGTCCAGGAGGGGATGGGGAGCCCTAAGGGGTGGGCGGGGCCAGCGCCCGGCTCAGCCCTCCTTCCCAGGCAGGAGCTCAGGGCAGTGGTTGACCCCTCCCAGCAGGGGCAGCGCGGGGATGCCCCTCACTGAGTCTGAGCCTCGGGTCCAGCCCACACTCGCACCGCCTGGAGCAGCAGCAGAGGCTCTGGTCCTGGCTGGAGCCAGTGGCCCCGCAGGCACATCCTTGGGCTCAGCTGTGAAAGGATGAAGTTTCGGGGAGAGTGACCCTCCGGTGAAGACTGGGCAAAGGGGGCTTCAGTGCCGAGTGTGGGCGAGCCGGTGGGATTTCCACGGGCGGTGCCTGTTGTCCTGGGAGCAGGGCTGTCCCCACCTGGGGCCACACGTGTAAAAGTGGGAGGGGGGTGGCGGTGGGGGAGGGGGAAGGAGGTGCTGCCAGGACTTCGGGGCCACTGGGCTCTGCACACGGGGACCTGATCTGACCCAGATGCTGGCGGGACCCTGGGGTCACTGAGAACCCACAGTGACGAGAGACCAGAGGGGCCACATGGATGCCTGGTAGGGCCGGACTCCAGGCTCCACTGGAGACAGGATGGGCAGCATCTGCCGACAGACAGAGGTGAGGGGCCAGTCGGCGCAGCCCGGAGCCTCTGGGGGTGGGCGGCAAGCGGCCGACGCAGAGTCCACGGGAGGAGCTCCGGAGCTCAGGGCTTCCCATGCTGAGCTCGGGTAACTGTGACGCCCGGGCAGAGGGCGGCGGCTGGAGGTGGGGGTTCTGGATAGGCCTGGCTGGACACGGGACCCGGAGAGCCTCCAAAGGCCGAGCACAGGGCGGCAGGAACAGGGACCCGGGGCTGAGGCAGGGGCCCAGGCCTCTGGTCTCCGCTGAAGCGGAGCCAGTTTGGAGGTGACCACCCTGCCGGCCCGGGGCAGGCTGCCAGGCCTGATGCCCCAGCTGAGTCTGAAGCTGCCGAGGGGTGAGAACGGAGCTTGGACACGACCCCAGATCTGGTGTTCCCGTAGAGGCCCCTGCGGGCCGGGCCGGGCCGGTCTTAGGAAGAGCAGCCCTATGCTGGTGGCTCCTTCCCAGAGCTTCATTCTGGAACGCTGGTTCCCAGGCTGTGCCGAGCACATTGAGAGCTTACTCACTTGTTACTCAAGAGCTTACTTACTTGTTTCCCCCCCCCTCCTTTGATAAAATTATAGATTAATTAATTCTCACCAAGCAATATCTGACCTACATCAGCGCCTCTGTAAGATGGCAGAGCCAGAAGCAAGAAGCATTCAGCTATATAAAGACAAGAATCTATTTTAAAAGAGGCCCGTGTATGGAGAGTCAGCTGCTCCAACGACGCCTCGTTACATAAGGCTTATTTAAAGGCGCCACACACCCGCTCGCCCGCGCTCGATTCACGGCCGGGAGCTCCGAGCGCAGTTAATTGCCTGATTCAGTCTGGATGCAGCGGAGGGGCTCTGAGAGGAGAACGGTCCCCCGCGGGTAGACGGTTTCGGGGGCACGGCACCAAAGCCAGAGTGCCTCCCCCTGCCTCCTGCCTGGCAAACCCTGGTCTCCTCATATTTTGGCTGTGGGATCCTCATCTCATTCATCTTGGTCTCCCACAGTACCAGCGCCATCTCGGGAAGTCGCCAGAGGCATCACTGCTGAAGAATTAGGCTGTGATGTGGAGAGATGGACCAGGCTCTGGAAGTGGCCGCCTCGCTCTGCTGGGCACCTGGCATGACCAGCTCATAGGTGCACAGTCCTGAATCCCCGAGGCTGCCCGGGGCGGCCGGTCCCCCTGCAGGGGTGGCCGCTCCTGGTTCCACGCCCCGAGCCACCCCTCCCTCTGTGTGGCAGGACTCCCCACAGTTGTAAGGAGCAGAACGGGCAGAGGAGATGGGGTGTGCCTTCTGAGGTTGCTTTCTCTAGCTTTTTGTGAGAAGCCCCTGTCCTGCTGGGAGGCAGCGCTGGGCAGAGGCTTCCATGACAAGGGACTAAGCCCTCCAACATGACTCGAGAGAGCTTGGAGGCCCCCCACGGTCCAGCCCCCAACCCCCTCTTCCCTGCCCACTATCCAGCCCCCAGAGGAGACCACAGCCCAGGCCCCCAGCTCGACAGCCACCTCGTGACGGGCCCCGGCACCTGGGCTCCTGACCTGCCGACACCGTGAGGGGATAACTGCTGGCCATCTGACCCACGTGCACCCGGGAACTTGTCACACAGCAGACAGCCAACACACCACTCATTGTAGGATGGGAAGCTGATGCTCCGAGCCACGGACGTGGCTCAGGCCACACTCACGCAGCCACACCCGAGTTCAACCCCAGGTCCACCCGGCCCTGCATAGCACACAGATCTGACCCCGAGATTACAGGCAGGGGGCCAAGCCCTGGCCTGCTGTGCTCTGGAGGCAGTGGAGGGCCAGCCCCAGGACCCAGCAGAGAGGTCCATCACAAGGGTCTGCCTGCTCCACGAAGGGCGCACCACCCTCTCCCCCGCTGCTCCCCACGCCCCTCCCGATGCTTTTACCTCCAAATGTCCCTGGTTCAGGCTCAGTCCCTCCCACAGGAAACTCCCCATCTGCTTCATCCGGGAAGCAGCCCTGACCACAGGCCACCCCAAGAGCCCTAGGAGGGGCCGTCCCTGCCCCGGACCCCAAAGCGTTCTGCAGGGCAGTGTCTGACCCAAAGCTCAGAGGGCAGCGACTGGTGGTCCACAGGCCAGGGGTGAGTCCTCACTGGGCGTGGCCCCGTCCTGGTGGCCCCGTCCTGGTTGCCCCGTCCTGACTTGCTCATAAGACGGACCCGCAGGTGAACTCCCAGCTGGTACGCTCAGCGCCCTCATGCTGGCCACAGCTTAGCGGCCATTTCCAGGCTGGGGCTGGGCCCCAGGCGCAACAAGTCAGGGGCTTCCCAAGGGCCTCCCCGTCCCCTTGACCTGCCCCCAGCTGGGCCAGGCTCACATCGGGGCCTGAGCACTGACGGCCCCTACTTCAGCGGGGGGCATGGTGCCCTGCCTCGGGGTGCTGCACATGAAGGGGCCCAGGGGCCTGCCTGGTCGGGGGGATGTTGCCAGGAGGTAAGAACACCTCCCATTTCCACTGGCTCAGCATCCTGTCTGTCAGGAGCACTGTGCCGCTGGCCAGGGGGTCGGGGCGGGCACGGGGCCGGGGGGAGGCGGCTCTGCAGGTTCAGAGAGACAGGAGTCAGTCAACTCAGAAACAGCCACCCAGGACCCTCCTCACTCCCACACCCAGAATCCTGGGTCCCAGGGGTCTGTGCCACCCCTCCACCACCAGGCACAGGCTGGCAGAAAGCTCCCCGCCCAGGGGGTCCTGTCCACCGACCCCTTCACTCACTTCATCATGCAATCATCTTGTGGGCAAGCCCCCTGCAGCCAGCAGCACAGAGACCTGCCGCCTGAAGCTCACAGTCTGGCTGGGGGGGAAGCAGACCATGGACAGGAGACCGGCAAATGCACACCGGCCAGGGGAGGGCAGCCTCTCGGACCAGGGGCCTGCGGACGCCAGAACTTCGGGGCTGAATATGGAGTCTCGGTGACAAGGGGGTGACAGAGGACAAGATGGTTGGATGGACCTGAGTTTGAGCAAACTCCAGGAGACGGTGAAGGACAGGGAAGCTAGCGTGCTGCAGTCCATGGGGTAGCAAAGAGTCAGACACGGCTGAGCGACTGAACAACTAGTAGCCCTTTGGGTCCTTCAGTCCCTGGCGGAAGTGACTTCTGGGCTGTTGTCAAGACAATCCAGCCACTCAGGAGAAACAGCAGCTCAGACAGAGGAGGGAGGCCGCTGGACGGGGCCAGGCCTTCTCGGGCTGTGGGGCAGGGAACTTCCCTGAAACCACCAGTGTGGATGGGAGGGGTCTCCCCAGGGAGAGCATGGCCACCAGGTGACCCTAAGCATCACTGAGTCCCGTCCTCAGGAGGTTCCCTTTTCTCCACTCCCCATCTTCTGGATGTTCCCAGCAGCCCTCCAGCTGGGACGCCCCACGGTTCAGCCAAAGAAAATACCCCAGCTCTTCTCACTACGTTAAGTTTCACAGCTTCCATTTATTTATGGAGAAGAAAAAAAAATCTTCCCCTGTAGCCAGAACACAAGCATTCCAGGTAAAAGAAAAGCATTTTGGTTATTTGCATATCTGTGGGGACTCCTGGGCAGGTGTGCCTTCCACCCACTCACCGTAGGGCTTCCACATGAGCAGCGGGGAGACCAGACGTGAGCCTGAAACGGTGGGCCCTGAGCTGTTCGCTTCCCAAGCCCAGCCCAGGGGCCCAGCATCCAGGAGGCAGCCCCTCCTGTGCAGGGAACCTGCGGGGTGTGGGAGTTCACATGGGGGCTCCCCCAGCTCCAGAGCAGCCTTCCCACCGCTCCCAGATGCCACCTGGACACCCGGCCCAGTGCCAGGCTCTGCACCCGTTTCCTGCTAGGCCCTCCCTTGAGCACTCCTAATGAAGCCTCAGGAAGGTTTTTCATCCCCGCCTCACCATTAGGTTCCCAGGAACTTTCTCTCAGTCGTTTACTTCTCTGCAGGTTGACTGTGCCCAGGTATTACTACACTATAGTATCAGGTGATACTGCAGTTGGGTATTACATGCACTGCGCAAATGAGACAGGGGTGGTGCAGGGAGGTTAATTCACTTGCCCCAAGACACCCAGTAAGAGACGCTGGGCTGCTACCTACAGCTCCAGCCCATGGCTCTCTGCAAGCATCTCCAAGCAAAAGCCAGCCTCAGACTCCACATTGCAAATCCCAGACACCTAAAACCCGAGCCCGCTCTTCCCAGCTTTAGAAAGTGCCCACGCTCTGCAGTTTAACATGGCAGAGAATCAGGAAAAACCGTACCACCTGCTGGGCCCCTCATCAGCCCGCTAGGCAGCGGGCAGCCTGAGGACCAGACAGCCAGCGTCACCTGGGGGCCTCGGGCTCACCCAGGCTCGCCTGGTGAAAACTGCCTGTTAACCAGATCCTTGGGCAACACTGAGCCCCAGATTGGAAGAGCTCCCAGCCAGGGCTGTGGAGGGGAGCACTTACCCCATGGCCCGCCCGCAAAGCCCCACCTATGGTGTACTCTCTGGCAATGGGGATTCGGTAGGGGCCCCAGAATCAGCTAATATGACACCTGGCGGCGGCCTCCTCCACCAACCTGGAGTGCCAGCTCGGAGGGCGAGCCTCAGGTTAGGGTGCTCTGCCCAGGCCTGGACACCCTCAGGCCACTGAGACCGCAGGCCAAGCCCGGCTGTTGATAGAGTCTGGGCTCCTGGCCAGAGATCATCTCTGGCTTTGACGCCATTTAATGTTCCTTCGATGTATTATTCATCCCCGTGAATTGCAGAGCTCACTCTTCAAAGCTTAGACACACACACACAGCCTGACTGAGCACTCAACATTTGTCCCCACTCTCTCTCCATCCACATCTGACCCCCACGCACATCGTCCCCCTGCCCGCCACAACCCTTCCCCGCTTCTCTCCCTGGACTCTGTCCACAAAGACCCAGGACTGACTTTCTGGTGTCCGGACTCCAGTTTGGAATTTGCTGTGTGGCCATGCGGAAGTGACTTTGCTTCTCTGGACTGGACCTAAGTTCTGAGCGTCCCAGAAACTCAGGGTTGGGAGGAACCTTGGGGCCCACCAGGGGGAACTGGGGTGTCTCCTGCCATATCAGTAAACAAGGATGCCAGAGTCAGCAGGGGCTGCGGTCCTCCAAATGTGAACTCCTCCAGAAGGGAAGCAATATTTGCATGGTCCAGCAGCCACCAGGCTGCAGCCACTCCTACGGTGAGTCCTGGGGAACTCAGGGTGTGAAAACACACAGGATGCTGGTCCCAGGCACCTGAGATGCGTTTGAGTGGACCGATTTCAGTGAGCCCAGACTCTTGCACCTTCTCAGACACAGAGAAGTGCTAAACTCCTTAACTTGAGGTATCTGATTTCTTTAATTCACAAAATACTTTTGATGTTCACTACCTGCCCTTTGCTGCAAACTCCTGTATAGGCTGACTCCTCCCCCATCCCTCCTCACAGCGATTCTCTCAGGGTCATTTGAGGTGCTGTCTCCCGGGCTTAAAGTCCTAAAAATTCCCACCGAATAAAACATAACCCTCAACTTTTAGGTTGTGACTATTTTTTAAGTCAACACCTGCGTCAACAACCATATAAGACATGGATCTTGCAACAGCATCTAATCCAGAACATGCATGGGGTGCTTGCACACCTCTGGGGATGGGGACCCCACTATCTGAATAAAGCCAGAGGCTCAGCCCAGGTAACTGAGCCCCTAGCTGTGTCACTTGTGACCCTGAAATCCCTCCCTCTTCCCCTCTTCCTCTGTCCAGAGCAATATTCAAAGATGGGTGAGTTGCCAAAATACCACATAAAATCAGGATGATGGGTAAATGATAACAGAATTGTTGATTGGCTCTTATCCTTTTTTTTCCTTTCTGACACTTCAATTATTTCAGTTATGACTTTTTCATAAAACAGTTCATAGATTGCAGGGGAATAAGTAACCTTTAAATCTCCCATTTAGTGTATTACAATAATTTCCTTGGAAATGTATTAGAATATCACAGGTGCTCATGCTATATGACCTTCTGCAGGCACTCCATCAGCAAATTAACATCGAGGTTAATTCAAACTTTGGGAGAAAGTGAAAGCTTGACAAAGATGAATCTAGCCATTCCCAGTAATGACAAGGATGGCACAGATAGGTGGCTGGTGGTGGCGTTTCTGGAGAACAAGCTCAGGAGGCAAGTGAGCAACTGTGGCTTATCAGAGGTTTGGGTTAAAAGCAGATGTTCTGAGGTCAGTCTCCTGAGTTCAAACTCCAACTCCAACCCTACTAGAAGTCATGGAACCATGCATGAACAAGTGACTGCCCATTTCTGGCATCCAGATGGCATTTCTGGATCCAAGTCTCTTCATCTGTAAAATGGATAGATACTAGCATCTGTCTCATTGTGTGGATTACATGAGTTAATAATGCATGGCAGTGTTGGAGCCACCGTTTATTTAAGGTCAATGAATGTTAACTTTCACCGTTCTCTTCCTCATCACCACGATCATCACCATGATATTCATCACCATACTCATCACCATTAACACTATCATCATCACCATCGTCACCACAGTTCCATTCATCAGCATCAACAGTATCATCACCATCAGCATCACCTCCATCATCACCATCATCCACACATCACCCACATCACCACCATCATCATCACCAGCATCACCACCATGATGTTCATCACCATACCCATCAGCATTAACACTATCACCACCACCATCATCACCACTGTTACATTCATTAGCATCATCAGTATCATCACCATCACCACCATGATGTTCATCACTATACCTATTACCATTAACACTATCACCACCACCATCATCACCACAGTTACATTCATTAGCATCATCAGTATCATCACCATCATCACCATTACCATCTCCATCACCACCATCATCATCCCAGTGAGTCCTGCAGCTGCCTGGCCCAGCAGAACCTCACAGGCCTCGATTCAGGACCCAGCTCCAGGACTCCCTCCTCAGAGAAGCCTCCTGAGACCTTTGGTTGCATGGTCCTCCCACCAAGTGTCCCTAACCCACTCCAGTGTATTCACAGCACCCCTTGGATGGCTTTTTTGTCTACCTTCTTGCCTCTTTCTCCCAGTAGAGGGAGAAAACCCAGGACCTAGAACACCATACTACAGATGAAAGATGTTCAATCGAGACTTTTAAATGAATGAATTAATAAAAGAAAGAACGGATGATTGAACAAATAAGAAATCCCATTTCCAATCTGGGCTGAAGGCCTGCCTTGCCTCCCTGCCCCCACCCTACCTGGAGGAGAAGGAGCAGGGAACCCCAGGTCAGCGGAGCCCCCAGCTCCCCCATGCCAGCACCTCCCCAACTCCCAGGCAAGCAACAGCCCAAGGAGCCCACTTCACAGGAGAGGAAAGTGAGGAGGTGGTCGGGGGGACCAGGGCTCAAGCTCATCACTGAGAGCTGCAGAGCCAGGATGTGAGCAAGGTTCTCCTGACCCCACGCCTGCCCTTTCTCCACCTAAGGGCCCCTCCCCACTTCCCTAAACCCCAGAACCAGAGTCACTGTCAGGCTACCCGCCCCCACGCTCTGCCGCCCTCCCACGAGCCTGGGCTCTGAAAGCCTCCCCAGACCTTCAAGAGCCCACTTCTGCCCCTCAGGGCCTTCCTCTCGACCGCCCCACCCCGGGGAGTCCCCAGGAGTGGGGACAGGATCCTCCCCAGTTAGGGCAGCATTAGCCCGCCTCCTCCCCGCTGAGCCCCCTTTCTGCGCCCAGCCCAGCCCCCTGTCTCCTTGTCTGCTGCCATCCAGATGGGCCCTGCTGACGGGGCAGGTCGTCACCCAGCGTGGAGGCTGCACACAGCAGGTGAAAACTGAGCCTCAGAGGGAGGCTCTTGAAGTGTCCCGGACCCAGGGTGGACGTGGAGAGGGGTGCTCAGACCCAGCACAGCAGGGACGGGTCACCCTGGGTTGGTGTTTCTGGCTGTGGGGGTGGATGAGGGTGTTGGTACCCACGATTATGGCTAAAGGAAGGGAGCCCCCGCCAGGGAGAAGTATCAGAAGGACTGGTGGGCCAGGCAGGGAATCCCAGCCCAGCTTGGGCTCCCCAGTACCCACCGGCCGAGCCCAAAAGGTTCAGCAGGCCCTCCTCAGGCCAGCGCACTCCGCAGAGGCAGGGGTGCCCTCCTTCTGGTTCTGGGCTGCAGGACAAGGGGCTCCTGGGGATCTCTGAGCCCTGAGGTCGTGGCTGCCTGCTCACTGACAGTTCCCCGAATGGGCTCACAGCTCTGCGCCAGAGATGGAGCTGGGCTCCCTCAGTCCGGCACAGGAAAGGCAGATGGCCGGGCCCCTCACGTGGTCACCCTCTGGGGCACAGGCCCTCTGGGGACTGCTGGCCAGGCCAGGGAGCTCCTGCTGCTTGCGGTCCCAGGAGGGCAGAGTCCACACATGGGCAGGGACCCTGGGGGGAACCACAGGGTTAACACAAGCGGCTGCAGGGGGTGGGGGCAGGAAGCCAGGAGGACCTCATCCTCGGGAGGGTTTAACTTGGAGACGCTCTCCCACGGGAGAGGGCCTGGCCTGGCTGCTGGGCTTGGGCTGGGCACTTTCACAGTCCCTCCCGCTCTGGGTCTGGCTCCCAGGGGCGGCCCAGGTCTTACCGTGTGGGGGTTGGGTGGGCCTGTCCACAGTCCCTGCCTGGCCCTGGCCTCCATCTGTTCCTTTCTTATGCCAGCTGCTGGGCTCCCCCAGGGCTGGCTAGGG